CCAAAAGAAGTAGCAATTCTACATTGCACAGGACACCGAAAGGGAAATGACCGTATAACACAGGGGAATCATCTGGCAGATGAAGCAGTTAAAGCAGCAGCCAGTAAGGAGACAGATGAAGCTCCTTCCCTCACCATGGCTCTAATGCTCCCAGTGGAGGCCCTTCCACTCAAGTACACTGAAAAGGAGAAAGACTGGGCCATGGCTGAAGGAGCCACCCTAACCAAGGAAGGGTGGTGGATGTTGCCTGATGGACGCATCTTTGTCCTAACTGCAACAGGAAGGCATCTAGTCGGCAAGTACAATCCGGCAAGTACTGGACTCTGTCCTCAAGAAGCAATTCTACATCAGCCAGTTGCCAGCATTATGTCTCTAACAAGTGAGCGGTGTGTGACTTATGCCAGGAATAACACTCAATCTGTCCCGTGACCCCCTCCAGGTGTCCAAAGGGCAGGAATTGCCCCCTTTGAAGACGTAGAAATAGACTTCACAGTCCAGCCAAGCAGAGGACTCAGACACCTCCTAGTGATAGTGTGTACATACTTTGGGTGGGTTGAAGCCTTCACGACCAGGAGAGAATGAAGTTGAGAGGTAGCCAAAGTTGTCCTAAGGGAGATTGTACCCTGGTTTGGCCTACCGTCTACAATCCAGTGACAGTGGACCTGCATTTGTAGCAGATGGAGTACAGATTTTAACCAAATCTCTCAATGTCACCTGGAAGCTCCACACTGCCTACAGGCCCCCAAGTTCAGGGAAAGTGGAGGGAATGAATTGTATCCTAAAGGGAACCCTAGCCAAGTTCTGTCAGGAAACCGGCCTCCTATGGCTGGACCTACTACCCCTGGCCCTTCTGTGTGCCCATTGCATACTCTGAGCACAAGGGTTTTCCCCTTTTGAACTAGTGTATGGACACCCCCCCCCCCCACCTGGGTTTGGGAAGCCTTCCAGGGAACCTATACCAAATGGGATAAGGGGGTAAGGGAAGAGGTCCAAGCCTTAGGAGTCACCCTAAATGAGCCACAACAATACACCATAGAAAGAGCCCCAATCTCCTTGGGGACCCTAGTACATTCCTTCCAGGTGGGGGACTCAGTCTGGGTCAAAAATTGGAGAAAAGACCCCCTCAAGCCTCAGTGGACAGGATCCCACATTGTTGTTCTAACCACTCCCACTGCCCTCAAGGTTTCAGGCATCACTTCATGGGTCCATCACTCCAGAGTGAAGAAGACCCATCACCCGACGAAGAAATACATCAGTGGAGAGCTCAGCCAGATGACAAGAATCCCCTCCACCTCCACATCCGACGAGAACCCACTGACTGATGGACATCTGCATGCCGTGGTTCCTGGCCCTCATCGGTGTGGGATCCCTTATCCTGGGGACTGGACTCTCCACTGCCGCCCCTTCTGACTGGACCATCCCCCACAGAGTTGCCATTGCCATTACTTATTGGGTGACTGTAGGATGTGTTGTTGCATTCGCTTGCTTACATAGCTTCTTTTCCTTCCCTTCCTCCCCCTCCTCTTGGGGAACCTCTGTGCTTGCATAAAGCCAGACAAATGGGGGACTGGGTTCAGTGCCTATATGTACATGCCCACCAAATATTATAATAAGAACAGGGCCACCCTTTGCCTTAAAGATGGGAAAAAGTACTGGACTGGAACAATAAGTAAACAGGATTCAGACTGTGCAATTAGGGGAAGAGAAGGATCCACTGTCTACTGGGCCTACTCACCCACATTGGAATGTCTGATGGGGTGGGGAGTCCAGCATCAGGCACGAAGGGACAGGGATGAAAAGGTCAAGCAGGCCCTAAAGACACTGACTGAAGGGTCAGCTTACCACAATACTGACCTCTCAGGACTTCAACAACTAACTCACACCCTAGCCCCTACCAATCAGGTCAACCAGGTTATCACAGCAGCCTATGAGTTGATTCGAAACATCAGCAGCCAGATACAAGCCTGTTGGCTTTGCTTGCCCTTAACCTGCAGGGCCTATATTGGAACCCCAGTGCCCTCATACTGGAGCTCTATCTACCCAGGCAACCGAAAATTATGCAGCCCAGAACCAGACCAAACTAATTGGTCCGGTAGTCTACAACAGCCAGCGCCAACCCACCGCAGAAAACATAACATGCCTGACCAACTCAAAGGCAGATAACATTAGCTATGGCTCCATACCAACCCAGTTGTGTTCCAAAAACTACACCACCAATCAGAAAACTTATTGTGCACCCTCCACCCCAGGAAATTTTCTGCTGTGTGGAAGTATGGCCTTCTGATGCCTCCAGATAAACTGGACAGGTTTATGCATGCCGGTCTTCCTCACACCCGACATTCTGTCCAGTCTGACCAAGAGGTTGAGCAAGCTCTCAGCCCCTTTTCGAGGATACAAAAGCAGGCAGCTTTACGCATGGTTTTGTTGGGTGCAGGAACACTTGCAGGAATTGGAGCAGTGTTAGAATCTTCGCCCCACTTTTACCACAAACTTTCTCAAGAACTAAACAAGGACATGGAAAAGTTTGCACACTCCCTCCTTTCCCTACAAGGTCAGATTAATTCGCGTGCTGCAGCTGTACTCCAAAACCGAGGAGCCCTAGACCTGCTCGGGGCTGAAAAGGGAGGAACCTGTGTATTCCTAGGGGAGGAGTGCTGTTATTATATGAATCAGTCAAGAATCATAGCCACAAAAATCTAAGAACTAAAAGAAAGAATATTAAAAAGGAGAAAGGAATTAGAGATGGGGGATGCGGGGACTCAGCCAGTGGTCCTCCTGGTTGCTCCCACTGGCTGGGCCTCTCAGCTCCATCCTCCTCCTCGTCACTATTGGCCCCTGAGTACTAAATGCCCTCATAAAGTTCATAGAAAACACTGTTACAAATTGAGCAAGGCTTTCAGTTTGACAGATCAGGATGATGCCCCCTGAAAACAAAATGTTTAAGAGGGGCATCAGAGGGAGGAGTGACAAGGAAAATATTTAACATGGCCCATAAGGCCTATAAGAGAATCTCAGCCCCCACCGCTTGGGGCCCTTTCAGATTCTTCTTCTGCCCTGCTTGCCGTGGACATCAAAATGCCACATATACAGAAGCAAAAAAGTATAAATTGTTCCCCTTGCCTGTGCTCGGGGCTCAGACCTTTGGAGATCACTCTCCTCTGAGCCCACCAGTGTGAAATAAACCTCCCACCCTCCAAGACCTCCGAGTGCCAATTGGTTCTTCCGTTGGGCAAACCAGTATGGGTCCCGTAATATATTCATATAATAGAACATTACATAGCACTAAAAAGGAGTAAACAAGTGATACATACAACATCACGGGTGATTCCCAAAAACATTATGCTGAATGAAGAAACTTAGGCACAAAAATGTATGTACTTTCCCTCCCCATTTATATGAAATTGTAGAATAGGCAAAATTAAGCTGGTGACAAATCAAATTAGTAGTTCCTCTGGCATAAGGTATGGAGTATGGGGGGTTGATTGGAGAGGGGCATGAAAGAACTTTCTGGGTGATGAAAACATTCTGTTTCTTGATAGGGAGTGTAATTACATCAGTATATGCATGTATTAAAATTTCTGAACTATATATATACTTAAGATCTGAGCATTCACTGTTTATAACTTAAACATGTTAATTTTAAGAAGTTCATACACACTTCAGCTGAGAAATCCCTCTTTTAGGAATCTATCCTATAAAATAAATACATCAGTGCATAAAGTTACATGACAAGGCTTCAGTTAACAAAACCAAGGTTCCCACTGTGTTTAGCAGATTTTGGAGGAACTATTTCATTTTATTGGTCAAAATAACCATGCTTTTGAGGAGAAAGTGGAAAGATTAACACAAAGGGAATACATAATCAAAAATACATTCTTAACCTAGATAAAAGACAGATAAGTTTTTAAAAGTGAAAAACTGAAAAAGGCTGGTAATTTTCCATCCAAATATCTGAGTAAGCTTGAGGCTATCTAACAAAAATACCAAAGTTACTGTGGTTAAGCAGGCAGATTTGTTAGAAAGCCCCACACTACTTCCATTCCATTTCAAACAAATCTACATTTCTTTTAAACCAGAATCTTTTTCTGAAAGTTCAAGCACGAAAACCATTTTAAATCTTTTTGCATGAGTAAGGCTAGAAATAGAGTCCCACTATACTTACTGGAGCATTGTTTATACTGTGGGGAAAAAAAAGACTATCAACTGAATAACCAGTGGTACACTCATAGTATGGCATATTAGGCACCATTAAACAGAATAATTACACTTACACAATTTGACTTTTAAGGATATCCATCATGTAGTATTATTTGAGAATAGATAGATACAGAAGAGTGTACAGAATATAATGCCATTTTAGTATATAACAATGACAGTCCTCATAGCCCCTGACACTACGTATCTTTGGGATCTGTGTGTGTGTGTGTGTGTGTGTGTGTGTGTGTGAGAGAGAAAGAGAGAGAGATATGGTATATATAAAGGTATGAGAGAAAGAATGCCAAATTGTTAATACTGGTATCTTGAAAGGGGGGTAGCGTTTAAAAATAGAAAATATGTTTTAAAAGAATTCCCACAATAAATATGTAAGGCATGCTGTGATTACACATATATTCATACAGAAAAAATGGTAACCAAAATAATTTTAATGAGTGTTGTTGAAATATATGGATTTTCACTTTCTTCCTTTTCATTTTTCTCTCTGCATTTTTTGCTATTAATGCATATTATCTGTGCAATCAGAAAAAAAAGGGCATTTTCATTCAGGGGGGAATAAAGGTCAGAGACCAAGAAAACACCACAAAAAACTTTGAAATTAAAGAAATATCTGGTGCTATAGGTAAAGATTATGAATTCTGCATAATTAGTATGCTTTAACATTTTTTAATTTAAATAAAAGATAATTACAGCGTAAAGGACACATTTTGCCAACACCAAAGAATAAAACATACATAAACAGACGTCAAAGCCCAGATATCACAGAATGAAAGGCACAAAAATACCTGGATGATTCAGAAGAGTATCAAGTTCTTCTTTGGCCACAACCATTCTTAATCTATCACTGCTATCAATAACAAAAATAATGGCTTGTCCGTCTCTGTATAAAATGAAGAATGAAAAAAAATTAAAGACAAATTTATACATTTTTCTACGTTTACTTTCTATTTAAATTTCCTAACCTGTGTTAACCTCTTACTGTCCTATGTCCATTTATCTTTACAGGCTTTGGTAAAGATTCTTATTAGTTTATTTGAGTGATTAATATATTAATTATTAGACATGTTCATGTAAAATAATTTCATTTGGAGATATGGTAAATTTAATGACCTGTTATTTCATAATTTAAAAAGTAAAACCATAATCCTATTATACAGATACAATCACCATTAATATTCTCATGTAATTTGACTCCCACATTTATATTCAATATGAATACCTAGATCTGTATTTATATGGAATCCTGTTTCATACCCTGCCTTTTGGATATATATACATACAATTTCATTTATTTTTTTCTCTTGCTGATTTATGTTTATTATGGAATGTTAACTGAAAATGCAGGATAAAAAATTATACATGGTACATAATTTAGAAGGCTTCTTTCTCAATTATGTAAAGTGGTATATATTTCGAAAAACAAGAACCCTCCAAAAAGATTAACAATGATAAGTTTATTAAAAGTGAAATTTAACTATACAATAACTAACATTACAGAATCATGTGATAATAAACTTCCTTTATAATCCAAAAATAAATGCTATTAATTGGTTTGGTGCATATTCCATCAACAGTTTTCTTCTCTTTATATATACTAAGCACATATTTTTATTAAGAATGATATTTTCCTTTATATAATTGAGATATGAAAAAAAGTTATTATAAGCAATGCTAAACACACATTCTTTTATGTACCTCTTTGCCCACTAGTCCTAGTCATAGGATACTTTTCAATATGCAAAAATGATGGCTGGAGGGCATGAATATTTTTCATTTTAAGAGATACTGATAAATTACCCCAAAAAAAGATGTTGCTTTCCTGCTGTGAAAGTAGCTTGTTTTGCCAATAGTAGATTAATCTTTTAACCTCTTTCAGTCTAATCAATTAAAATGCACTTGTTCTTCCATAATTAGAGAATTACAAAGATATAAAATATAAATTTACTATTATTGTAGATGTCTCAATAGTAATCATATTCAATTTTCTACTATTTATCTGTAATATTCCTGAATTCATTAACTTCTTCCAAAAAGATTTTGAAGGAAAAAAAGTTAAAAATCAGAAAAAAGAATCCTTTTTCTGAAATACTATTATCTGTGTATTTTGTTCCCAATAAAGTAATTAAAATAAATGTTATTTTAAAAAATAGCTAAAGTAAATATATTTTTTAAAAAAGGAATTATTTACCAATGAATTGGAGGAATAAAAAAATCATATACTAAAAACTCAGGTTTCCTAAAAACAACAACAAAAAAACCCCCAAAAAACAAAACACATTTCCCTAGGGCATTTATTGCAGGATAACAAAAACATGGCACTTTTTCGTTTCCAAACTCAAATCTCAAGCACTATTTTCTCTCTACCCTAGAGATCCCCTGGGTCTGTACAATTTAAATAGGCCTTCAATCTATTCAAGTACTCATTGCAAAGAATATCTGGAATAAATTTCCTTTGGTTCCTATCTGAGGAATACCATGTTTGTTCCCACATTAGAAGGAAAGATTAATTAGTCAAAACTAAAATCTGGTCTGGCAGTCATCAATGCTAATCCAAAGAAAGAGTTCATAATGACAACGGGCATTTAGTCAAGGGATACTGTTTATAAGTTTCACGTTTGTAAATTTCATATTCCAAAAGTGAGTTATGTTGCTTTTAAATGAAGGAGTCCTAGCAATACTGGAAGTAGATGAATTTCTTTCAACACCACATGCACATCATGAGAGGGTATAACACATAGGATGCAAGTAAATGGAGAGTTGTTAATCTGAAGAAATTAGTGAGCACCTGATTTGAATATGCTGAGAAGTATCTGCAAAGACTTGCTTGTAGAACAAACCAATCAACTGTCAGGTAGTACTGTTATAATAACTAAATTTATTTACTGATCTACATGCCCAGCAATATTCTTGGCCTTGAAGAAATAATGAATAAAAAATAATCCCTGCCCTTGAGGAGCACAGTCCCATTAGGGAAGCAGCCATGATACATAACTTTAAGACATAGTAATCACAATGACAGAGATGTGAATGGACTAAGTAGAGGGTGAACACTGGAGACAGAATCACTGGGTGAAACAGTGCAACTTTACAGAGGAGATGACTTTTGAGTTAGTCCTTAAAGCATAAATATGTTAACTTTAAGTTGCAGAGAAGTAGGGTAAAAAAAGAGCATTAAAAATAAGAGAACAGCACATGCAAAGGTCCATGGTCATGAAGGATCTGAAGCATTTGGGAAATAATGTCAAGTATGACTGTACTTTTTCTAAAATTAGTAAATGTGCTTAAATTTTATGAAAACTAAACATTGCAACTCAGCCTATGTGGTCATTTGGATTTCTAATCATTTAACCAACATTCACAAACATACTTACTTATAATAGTGTTCCCAGAGATTTCTGTACCTTCCTTGACCGGACATGTCAAATACTGTAAAAGACAAACTACAAAACAAAACAAAACCTATCATTACATCATAATCTACTAATTTAAGGTGCAACATTTATTTAAAATTTTACATTATCTGCAAAGAAGCCACCCTTGAATATGCAATGTTCAATTTGGGTCAGTTTTCAAGTACAAGTACCATAAAATGAATTTAGTGAATATAAATAAGATTTTACAAGGAATAACACATAAAAATAGATATTTTCTTTGCTAGTGAGGTTATCAGAGTTTGTCTAAATTGTAAATACTGAAAACGAATCCAGAGGTAATGGTACAAATATTTTAACACTTAAGGGCTTCTGAAGCAACAAATTACCTTTTCTGAGAGTAGAAAGAATGACTAGGTAGACCTAATATCATTTTTTACCTACATCTTAGTCACAAGTATTATAAAACGAATTACCTGGACGATTTGAATTTCTCTATGCTGAATCCTATTGTTGGAACTATATCTTGTGACTGAGCCTTTAAGAGAAAAGACAAAGTTTAGAATTTGCATTACCAAAGATGAATTTTTCTTCAGGTTAAAAATAGCATCTAGATTTTCTAATTCTAAAATTTGTTACTAAGGAGATAATAGGATTAAACAAAATTTATAATTTTTGCAATAAGATCACTGTGTATGAATCTTTTGCAGAAGTTTAAGGTTTACTACATACGAATCTGCATAACATGTATTTCCACATTTTGTGGCTTGCTTCAAGTTACCATGGACTTAAAGTGGTTTGATAAGTCACCCCAAGCTCATATATAGAACTTTCAATACATATTTATTAACTTTATTTATGCTACGAGGGAGGGACTCTTCTCATGTGTAGATGGTGAATATACATGGTCCTGCTTTCATGATGCTTATAAACTAGAGGAGGTAAACACCAATAAACAACTAAGTTACAAATGCACACAATTTTGGCAGTGATAAGTGCAGTGCAAGGTGACTGGGGGTTGGGGGCAATAGGCAGTGGGGTGTGTATGGGGCATGCAATAAGGGTGCTCTGGAAAAGCCTCTCTGAGGAGGTGATATGTGACCCAGATGTAAACATCAAGAAAGGGAGAAGCTCTGACAGGATCTTGGCAAAGAACAACCCCAGTCAAAGGAATTAGCTAACATAAAGACCCCAAGGCAGGAAGGAACCTGCCCCTCAGGAAGCCCCTCAAGAAAAGCAGGTGGCCTGTACTGCTGAAGAGTAAGGAGTAAGACAAAGAGCTGTATTTAACGAAGTAGAAGAGGCTAGGTCCTTGAAGGCCATAGCGGGGAGTTCTGTGTGGAGAAGAGACTGCAAGGGGGCAAGGGTAGGCGGGACACCTGCTGCCACATCCCACAGGAAGTAAATGCCTTCCACTAACAACTTAACTCATCTGACGTCTCCTTACATTTCCACTATAAAAACTGTTTCTCCTTTTTGATAAAGATTCACCCACTTTCTGATCCAGATGCCTCGAGCTACTCTTGACTCCTCCATTTTTTACATTCTCTATATAACCATTCTCTAAGCTTTACTGGCTCTCTCTAGCTAATTTAATTCAGGCTTTTGTCAATTCTTCCTTTGAATTACTACAATAGCCTTCTAATTACTCCTAATTGCTAATATGCTACCTTAAATAAGTTACTCAACTTTTCTAAGTCTTAATTTTCTCAAATGTGAAATGTATTATTAATTTAACTCATAAAGTTATCATAAGAATTAAATGAGTTAATAGATGAAAAATACTCAGTATGTCTGGTCCACAGTAAATTCTCATGGAATGTTTGCTGCTACTATAGTTATACTCTCACTGATTTTAGTTTCATCCCCAATGTTCTCTATACAGCCACAAGCAGAACTTAAAAAAATCCCCCTTCAGTTTATCTCTTTGCTTTTATGTGAAAGCAGGAGTAGAGGGGAATTTGTTGCTTCATATCATGATGCTCATTTAAATTCAAATGGAGAGGCAGTCGCAGGAGCTTGGTCCCCTTAATATGCAAGTGAAAACGCCTCCCCAGAGCTGCCCTGGTTTTGCTTTTCTGGTTTGTTTATTCAGCTTTTCCTTCCATCCTATGAGCTCCCAGTATTCTTCCAAAATATCTTTTCTTTTTGTTTATGTTAGACAGAATATATTTCCTGGTATTCATATTCCTGCCTCATACCTTAGGATTCCTGTATAAGACAACAAACTTTGGAATAAAGAGTTCCTAATTTTTGTTGTTCCAAACCTCACTGTTTTGATTTTAAGTGTTCTCATGTGCCAATCATGTGATAAAATCATCAGCTATTATTATTAGGAAAACACACCAATAACAAGGAGGAATAAAAAACAAGTGAGGAAGTTAAAAGTTTAAAGAAATCTCAGAAAATATACCTCCAAATAGTAGCCTTGCCTTCACTGAATCCTAATTAGAACATTGGTTTAGCCTCTCCACAATCACTCAGCTTCTTCACAAACTGGTTTTGCTTATAGAGAAGTTCCCCTTTACTTGCTATTTTACTGAATAGGGATAAGATTAATCAACTTTTTTTCTTTCCCCTTACTTTTAAAGTTCCAATGGAAGATAACTAGAAAGAAGAAATTCTACAAATTAATCATGATAGGGCAAGATATGTGAGCTGGTGCTTCCAGATACAAGTAGGGTTAATTTTTCTTTAAATATTTCCAAAAGATAGTCTCCAACATTAATCTTCCTTTGCTCTATCCAGGAACAAATAGATTTGCTCATTCTTTATATTGGAAAGGAAACAGTACAAAGCAAGCAGAGTGTAGGAATTATTACCTAACTGGAATAGTCCATCTTAGAGAGCCTAAGGACAGACAAACATCAACAAGAATAAAACAACATCTCTGAGAGAGACCCTGAAGGGTCCCCACCAGTAAGATGGCAAACTTTCAGCTTCTCTTCGGGGTCCTCAGTTCCCGCCGGCGCCACCTGAAGCCCAATCACCTCTCACCCCCCTCCCAATCCCAGCACCTAGCCAACAGCCACCAGCCCCGTAGAAGTGACACCTCAATCAATTCATGCCCCCTCCTATATAACCCAGCACCTTTCCCTAATAAAGCGGAACTCTCCGGTGAATTGCTGCTATGTGTCGCTCCTTTCCTTTCATTGGTGCCGAAACCCGGGAGACGGGACACCCCAACTGGGCCCCGTCTTCCCCCGACACCAGCAGCAGCTTGCCCTCGTCCTCTTTTTCCGGCGCTGGCTCATCACACTCACCACTCCTCTCTGGCCTTTAGGTAAGTTTTCCCCCCGGAGTGGGCCACTCTTCCCCGAGCTATCGCAGTGCCATTGACCGTGATCGTCCGGCAAGGCCCTGACGCTCGGGGATGAGGAGGGAACGCTCCCCGCCTCAGGCCTTCACGGCTGCGGCGGACCCTCAGGCCCCTCCCCAAACAGCCATAAATCCCCGCCTCAAGCCTTTACGGCTGCGGCGGACGCTCAGGCCCCTCCTCCGACAGTCATAAATCCCCGCCTCAGGCCTTCACGGCTGCGGCTGACTCTCAGGCACCCCCCTCCAACAGCCATAAACGAGGTGACTCCTTTGTGGATGAGAACGCTCCCTTTTCCCCCCCTCCTCCTTCTGCTCCGTCCGCCGAAAACGCCTAGCGCTAGGTACCTCGTGACTCCGGCACTCTGCCTTCTTAGGGAAGTCTGGGTGACGACCCACACTTCCCAAGAAATTCCGACTCGTATACGAGTTTCCGCAGACCACCAAGGATCATCGGGGACGCCCTTTGTCTCCTTGCGGTCTGCTTCCAGTCCGAGGATCTCCGTTCGTCTTCCCCTGTTTGTCTCCTTCTCTGTCCTTTAGCCATGGGAGCCTCCTCATCCCTCCCTGAAAGTTCACCTCTTGAATGCCTGCTTAAGCATCTGGCTACCCTCTCCCTGACGCCTGATATAAAACCAAAACTTCTCCGTAAATATTGCTCCCAAGATTGGCCGACATACCCCCTAGACAATAACAACCAATGGCCCGCAGGGGGAACTCTTGATCCTAACATCACTCGCGATCTTTTTAACTACTGCCAGCGCCTGAAAAAATGGAAGGAGATTCCCTATATCGAAGCTTTCCGCCTCCTCCTCTCCCCGCCCCCTCCCAAGTTCTCCTAGCCTGCAAGCCGCCGCCCCCGCAGAAGCCTCCCGTTCACTCCCTTCCCCTTCTTCTCCTACAACAGCCCTTCTCCCTTCCTCCCCAACCATCTCCTCCCCCATCTCACCTCCTCCACCTTCATTCCCTGCAGATTAAGCCTGAGCCTTTCAGCCCCCCTTTAACTAGGTCCCAGGGGCCTCCTCCGTCTTTGCCCTCATCACCTGTTTCTCCCCTGTTAGGGACCGCCTTTGTCTTCTCACATGTTTGTAGAGAGAATGGGAAAGCACCTCCCCCCATGTCTGAACGCAGCATGGGAAAGCACAAGCTAGAGAACAACCGGTGCAGTCCTTAGAAGTTATCTGTCCACAAAAACATATCTTGCCAAGACTCCTCACTCTGAAAATAGGGAGACCTTGAAGATGTGTAGAAACACCGCCCCTGCTTCTAGCTATGCCCTTCCCCCACTTGCCGATGTGGCAGGAATAGAAAACAACGCATTCCATAAGCAATTAACTGGAGCCCTGCTGTAGCTCAGTAGAGCATGGGACTCTTAACCTCAGAGTCATGAGTTCAAGCCCAACTAAAGCAGCAGAGGCAAGCAGCTGGGCTGCTAGCTGGCGACATGTGGGTCCGATTCTATCTTTCTTTATTTTCTTTGCCCCCCTTCTGCACTTCAGGACCTGCTCGACTAGGCACGGCTAGACCGCGTCACTCCCCCACAGACTGAGCCAGAACCCTTCAGTCCCCCTCAGACTCAGTCCCGAGAGCCTCCCAAAATTATCGCCCCCCTCCGGGAGGTAGCAGGATCCGAAGGCATCGTGCGCGTTCACGTCCCTTTCTCCTTAAGAGATTTAGCCCAACTAGAGAAACGCCTAAGTTCCTTTTCCACTGATCCCATGACATACATCAGGGAGTTTCAATAGACCCTCCAGTCTTACAGCCTCACACATCATGACATTTTCATGCTCCTGGCCAATACTCTCCTCCCTGAAGAGCGTAGACGAGTTTAGGACTTCGCCCAAATGCAGGCTACTGAAACCCACAGGACTGACCCCACCTATCCCCCTGGCCCCACTGCTGTCCCCGAACAAGACCCACACTGAAATTATAACACCGCCATGAGTCTCCGCTCTCGAGATATTTTTGCCTCCTGCTTAATAGCAGGTCTGAAAAAGGGCAGCTTGTAAAGTAGTCAATTTTCAAAAGCTCCAAGACATAATTCAAAAGAGAGATGAAATCCCCTCCGAGTTCTTAGACAGACTCACTCAAGCCCTATTACAGTATACCAGCCTGGACCCAGAAACACCTGAAGGAAGACATGTCCTTATGACATACTTCCTAGCTCAAGGCTACCCCGACATTAAAGCTAAACTCAAAAAGTTAGAACAGGGCCCCGCTACC